TAGAAAATTTCTCTAAAAAAAATCCTGTCTTAAAATCTGTGGGGGATTTTTCAGTTATTTTATGCAGGCTAGTTAGTTGTACGTCACCTTTTTTTTTTCTTTTTTCCCAGTCATAGATTCTTGATTTATATGTCACAGCTATTATACGCAATGGTTGAAATGAGCAATAAGAATCATTTATTTAACCATTGAGTTACGTCCCAGTAGGAGGGGGATGGACGTCTGTGTCTTCGGCAGGCGTAGAGCTAACAGAACTGTCAGTGTTGTGAGGCAAGGGCTCAAACATGTACGACTATAAGCCTTCTACACCAAACGAAGCTTCTGCCGCCTTGGCATCCTCTTCCAGAACAACTTCGTCCCCGCTTTCCTCCTCTAAATAAACAACGTATGAAGGAGGAGACTCATCCACAACCTCCGACACAAAACTCTCCTATCTCCATAGTGTTCCTTGACAGTGTCGTTGCTAAGTACTACTTGATCCCAATGTAATTTCCCATAGGGAACCTACTAGCACTAAGTTGCTAACTGGTTAGCAAGATGCTTCCGAGACAACGGCCACAACTAAACTTGCTTGCGAACATTCCGCCACAACAATCCTGCCACCTTGATAATCGACCAATCACATTCACTTTATTCAGTCGTGTAAAGTCGGGCACCACTTAGGAGAATTCGGAACTGCAACCGTTGGAAGAGCCGTTTCCCTGCAACTTTTAAGGTTTTGTGATTGCTAACCTAATCTCAAACCTTGTGCAAAATGACTTCTTTTCTACTTCAGTGTGATATAAAGAGGGCACTTTGTTTTTGATAGCATTTAACAGGAGTTTGAACGTTTTAGAAAACAGTCAGTGTCATGTCCCGATGCCAAAGAAGCACCTTTTCTGCTTCAAATAGAATGGAGAACTCCCTTTGGCAAATAAATCCATGAAGATGAAGCACAATAATGCAAACATTAAGTCATAAAAAAATGGTTGCTGTTGCTTTTATAGACTAGATGAGCTTTTAATGGTACATTTCTCATGTCTGAAAGAGCTTTTGTATAATAGAGGCGCTTGGTGTTTAGCTGTATTGTGAAAAGTGCACCTGTGCTGCTTAACCTCCTTGACTGCTCCAGAAGGGAATGCTGTTGATGATGTACTTTTCTTCCATTAAAAAAAGAGATACAATTTAATTTGATTGCTTTGTAAATGAAAATTGTTAAAATTTCTTTTTTTCTTTGAATAGAGAACTAAAAACACTTTGCTTTAAAACAACGCTGTGTAACTGTTAAAACAAGTATTAGCTCAGTTTGAGAGGTATTAAATGATTTTATTTTCAGGTTAATATACAATACTTGATGCATACAATGCTCCATGGATGCTCTCCTTTTCAAAAACTTCCCTATGTATAGTTTGGAAGGGTCAGGTCCGTCACTGAGTGGGTCAGACATGGATCAGACATATTTTTGGTTCTCTGGTGTAGGATTTAATCTAGATTAGTTTATGTAGCCTTGTCTTTACAAGTAACAACATGACTTTTTCAATCTGTTGGTCCAAAGGGGTCTGCCAACAGACTCATAATGTGGAAGGCTGTTTGGTTTTGATATATTGCAGTGGTGTTACACCTGGAAGTTACAGGTTTGGTTGTGTCTAAAAGTTGCACAGTTTTGCTTTAATAAAACAAGCACAGTAGTTGGCCGAATGCAGACGTCTTGTGTTTCTGCCTCGCTTAAAATGACTAACATCGCAAACAGTTTTTTTTTTTATTTATTTTTTTGTGCGTGTCATTTCAGCAAATAGGTTATGCCATATTCATTCTTTATTTTGCTTATTTTAATTTCTGGGCTGACTCAAGTTTGTTATTTAGTCAAATCCGCTTGATGTTTGTTGCCCGATTTGTATGAAATAAAACTAAAAGAAAAAATATGCCAGATAAAAGGTGAAAACAATACATTGCTCCCTAAATGTTACATTTTAAGAAGGGATTTTATGTTTTCTGTGTTTTTGAAAGAGAAATTGCATCCTTATCTAGTTCTCAAATGTGTATTTTTTTTTACCTGAGGTGACTAGTCAAATAGATGCAAAATAGGTCATTATAAAGAGCCACCTGAAATCATTCAGACGGCCACAGATGGCCCCAGGTCACACTTTGGAAACCACAGATTTTAATGGTCAAAGTTTGTGCTGAAAAATGCATGCATTTTTCTTAGACAGAATACAGATGCAGTTGTAATAGTTTTTATTTTCAGTATTGCTCTGTGACTTTACTATTTAGGCTTTTAATGCTAGCAGTAGTCAAGTGAGTTTGGACACGCTGTGTTAAATGGCACAACTACTTTTCAAGTAATAATAATATGCTATTTTCAATGGCCTGAATATTGAGTTAATTAACATTTTTCCCGTTTCAACAAAACCATTAGATAAGTTAATAAATGTAGGTAACTCTAACAGCAATTCAAGAAAAAGAAACAGTTCTTGACAAGGGTGAATATATTAGGAAGATGTTGAGTTTTCTGTAGAAGTTTTTTTTTTTTTAGCATAGTTATAACCCTGGATTACAAAATGTTTCATTATTTTTCCCACATTCAGGTGTGGTATAAAGCACTATTTTTTTTCCATTCATCAGAACTAAATCTAAAACAGTTGGTCACGTAAATCTCCGACTTAAGTTTCAGCTGGTTTGATGATCATAAAGAAGTCTTTTATTGTTTGGCCAAACTGAAACCCTTCTTTTTTGGTACTCATCAGTCCTTATTTTTTTGATTAATGTGTACAACAATTTTGGACGTGTTTAAATCTAGGAATCTAAGATAGACATGCACCGATTGATCGGCTTCGATTTCCTTTATTTTGGAACATCAGTGATTGTCCAATACTCCCTACCTCTGTAAAAGACTAAAAAAATCAGCCCATCATGCTCTAAACATTGATTAATGTGTTATTTTAGAACAGCTGTGGTTTCTTGGGTTCTGATCAATGTTTTACAAGGAAATATGTTGAAATATAGAAGGTGTCCTGTGATCTTGGAACAAATTAGTCAAAATTGAGATTTCTGGCTTTTTAAAGATCAGTGATTGGCCAGAAACTTGCAATCAGTAAACCCCTGATTTAAGGCTGTCGGAAAGTTATTTCTGATCAGTGGATCAGCTGTGGAAATGGACACTTGAAAGTGTCTTGGGACAGTTGATTGACAAAAACTTGCCCAAAAAAATCATGCCCAAAACATTGTGCAGCTTTATGCAATGGGGAAAAAGTTAGGCAACAATGGTAAATATTACAATAACGATATGGCTTGTGTTAAATAGTCAAGTACTTAGCTGTGTCGGTGGATTTCTGCTCTAGGTTGACTGCTAACATGCCTAGCTTGTCTTTTCGTAATAATTTTACCATCAGTTTATAATCTAAACCATTTGTAAGCCACAACAAGTTTCATCAGATCTAATACTTGTGTAAAAAGCCCAACTACATTGAGCTGAAATTAGTACCTCCTATTTATTCATTTTAAAGAGATGTTTTTACTTAATAGATCTTTTAAAGCCTGTTTTAAACTTTTGGTCTCACTTTTCATTCAAGGAGTTCTGTACAAAACAATAACATATGTTCATAAATTTTAATGTCTAGTATGTGACATCCACTGGCAAAACTGTTTCTTAGTTTGCGATAGACAAGTTTTATAAAAAGCTTGGTTGAAAGCTGTCCTGTCACCCTCTTTTCTTTCTCTTTATTTAGTCATGCATTATTCTTTAAGGACAGATATATTTAAGTACAGTAGATGAGCATTTACAGTAACTTGCCTGCCCTGCGGTTCTAAATGTGACACACTGGGCAGCTTGTGTAATGTGTGTCAACCGACTGGCTGTAGCTGACTGAGAACAATGGGTCAGTGTCCTGAGGAAGCTGCATATTCTTCTGTTAGGGTCCATCAGCCCAGCTTCTTATCTCAGGAGCTGTGGTGAGGATGAAGGGCAGCAGAAAAACATGACTACTGATCATCATCCTAGCTGCTGATTGTATGCGCCGCTACAGTGCCATTAATATATTTATATATTTTATAAGCAGGTGTTTCTTATCTATCTACTAATGTGCTCTGGTAATATGTTTCTTTGAGGAAATAAAAAAACAAGTGGTGATGTTTTCTGGTATTTTGGTTTCATTTCATTATTTTCTATAAAATGCTCAAGAGAGTAAATGAAAGAGATGATGGTTAAAAACCAGAACTTAGTTTCCTGAAATGACAATAACAGGAAACCCATGGAAGTCACACACATGATCCATGTATTTTCTCTGATACTCCCTAACAGTACAGTGTGTTTTTAGGTTGTTTACCTGAGACAAGAGGTCCTCTAAAACACATATACCGGTAGTATAAAAGGGGAAAAGAAGAACACTTTTAATCTCTTCTTGACAAGATAAGCAGTTAGGAATTTTAAAAGTGTCTGCAGCTTATGTTGATCCTAATCCAACATGAGATTCAACACATTTTTATCTCCACTGTTTGCTCAACCATCCTTTGTAGTTTGATCATCAATACCAACCTGCAGGTTTCAGTCAGGTCAAGCTAATGTGTGGGATGCAGAAATGTTTATTCTATTACATCAACGTGCGATAATAGAGCATAGTCTCTATTAAACAGGGGTGCCAAAGTGTGGCCCCTGGGGGACAAAGTACACATTTGAGTCACCAGTCGAGGGAATTGATGCTGATTTACACTTGACAATAATTCTTGGGATGAAAAGTTCCTTGACAAATTTTAACTTTATTACAGTGAGGATTGTTAGCAACAACTCCAAGTAATAATTCTTAATTTGTCATATTAATTTTATAGTCAAAAAGACCAAAAGCTCCCTTGCACATAAAGGCCAACACACCCTGTTCTTGAACATAGAGCAAAATATAAAAAGAAAATGTGTCCAAAAAAATAGACATTCACAAAAAAATTAAAAAGACAATTACATTTAAATTGCATCTTACCTATTTAAGCAGAAGCAATGAAGAACATTATTTTTGTTCCTCTCTGTCTTTCAGGCCAGTCTGTCCGTCTGGGGATGGGGGGGTCTTGGAGTTGTGCTGTTCTTTGTCACGTTTGGACCTTTTGCCATTTTCTACCTGGCCTTTTATATCTTTTGCTTCATTGGAGGGTGAGTAACATGACCTAAATTCTGGCTTTAAACATTACCAAATCCATCCTTAAAATATTTGTCCGTTGTTTATACCTTTCTTTTTCAGTGGCTTTGCAGTCACTTTGCTGTATGGAAAGATAAACTCAGAGAAACACCTGGAAAAATGCGAACACTCTTTCTTGCCACCAACACAAATTGGTATACAGAAGGTAAGAAACACATCATTAGCAAAACTTTGCACATAATTTGGCCCCTTCTAAGCGAAGCTATCAATCATAATTTAATCACATATTTTTTACCCGAGAAAGTTGGTTATAAGGTCACTTAGTTCAATAAAGTGTTTTTTTTACTTGTCTTGTTTTGGCTTTATCTCTTTCAGACGCTGGATGACATGAAGCTGGAGGTAAAGCCAATAAAGATTGACAGGAGACTAACTGGATCTAGTTTCATTGATGAACCACTACAGCAGGTGTGTTTTAGTCTCCTTTTTTATGGCACTTCCTGTTAATTGCATACCTGTGTTTTTTTATTTTTGAGATTGTGATCTTGAAACACAAAGTGTGATGATGGCTATTGACGGGGAAATGGCTGGGGGATTGATGAAATCTCTAGGAAATAGTTTTTCAAAGCTTGTGTAATTAATTCTGAACTTAAAGCACAGTGAGTGTAGCTATTAAACAATATAAAAAGCCTAAAGTTACATATAATCATGTCATTCAGTTCTGTTAAACTTATAATCAGGAGTCTTGAGGTAAACTGTTTGGGTGTCTTTGTATTTTAAATGACCTGTTCAATCTAACTAGACCTAGTCAGAGTAAACACACCAATACAGTTGAAACCTCTCAGTCACAGCTTGGCTCAGCTTTAGTTGTGTATATGAACAGTCATTCATAAAGCTGATTTATACTCAGAAACTGGGTTGTCTGCGTATGTTGCAGTGAACGCAGATATGCCCCCGCCGCTTCCGCAGATACTCTGGTCCACCTCTCCATTATTGTAGGTGGCCGCAGACAGTGCAGAAGAGAAGAGGCCTCTGATTGGTCAAATCTACATCTGCTCTACACTATGCGTATTTCCTGATCGGTACCTTACAGACTTGCTTTGTTTGCATGACCACCATTGTGGAAAACGACTCGTGAAGTTGGAACAGCTAGAAGAGCGAGGTGTGCGAGAATGCTGGAACCAATTTTCCACCTGGATCCCCGCTCTTTTTTTGCCCTCATGTCCCTCCGTTGTCACACAAACTTGCCCCCACTTTCTCACTGCCTCAGCCGTATCTAGACCCACAGCTAATTTGTATTTGTCCCTCTTGCGTTTTGGCGTGGAATAACATAGCACAGACCACGCTTCAATATTGGACATATATCAAAAATATCTGCGACAAGCTTACTGCAACACTGCTGCGGGAGTATAACCAGCCCTTTAGACTTTGACCTAGGTCTTGAAAATTGACTCGGACTCTTGCCTTACAGTTTCAGTAATTTACATGGATTCCAGCGCATTGTAATTGCTAATCCAATTTTCTTTTGTGGAAGTAAGTTGGTTCTTATACTCCCTACCAATCTCCTCCTATTAGCCAGGAACATTTACAGACTCTGAACCTTTTTCATAATGAACTGTTGTTTCCTACCAGAACCAGGCGTTAAGACTTTGGGTTATTTTAGAACGAAATAAACGTTACTTCCCACTGTCTTACTGTTAGTGAAGGAAATTAGTTCAGAGGTTTGCCAATGGTTCTATGCACAACTCCACTATGTCTTGAACTGAAGGCAGCACCTTTGGCGCGATCCAAAACCGCCCCCTATGTGCTACCCCTTCACTATTGACCATCACTCCCAATGAAGTCCCACTCAAAGCTGTGGAAAGTGCTATGATTGAAGTTAGAGGGTGCAAATAACAACGGGATGCCCTCTACCCGGAAGATGAAAGCTGTGACAACATAGAGACAGCCTGTGTGCATGGCTGTAGCTCTGTGGCGCAGGTTGCAAAGCTCAAGGACTGCTGTTGCAACTGCCCCATATATGGGGCAACAATTGACAAACTACTTTCAACCTCATGATACTTTCTTTATAGTAAGCTTTTACATCTTGAGCTGTATGTGTGTGTAGGGGACAGGTATGAGTCTAATTTCTACAAATATTGCCATTCTAATAAAAATAACCCATAAGAAATGGATAGAAATGTAAAACATGTTGCATTCATCCCCACTCTCCCCTACTTCAAATGGGATTCCACAAATCCACTTATTGACATGCTCAGTGACTGATCAAACAGTGTATCCCATAGAGGATGATAATCCAACTCTAAAGGAGGGAAACTAACACAAAATAACAGGATTATGACAGATGGGGGCACCTTTTCTGTTAAGTTACAGTCTGATACATCAGCTGGCCAGGTCAGCCATTTAGAGGCTTTAAGCTTTAGAAGAACTAATAGTATAAAACAATGCAAATCTCTATTTGACCTTAGAGTTGTTCATGAGATGGTATCCCATCTTCTTTTTGTTTATATGTCAGTACAGGTTTTATATCTTTCATCCAATGTGACTTTTTACGTTTAGAAAAAGGTAGAACATGTTTGTAATTTGGATTACCAATATATTTACTATAGTATTCTTCTACTGTTATTTTACTGTGTTAATCTAACAAAAATGCAATCAATGTTTTGTACAAACAGTTTGGTTAAGACAATACATCTAGTTAACATCTCAAATGTTGTGGATAATGTGTGCACCCACCCTGGTGCCAATCTTAGCTGGCAGTGACTGATTGATTCACAGAACAACAAGGACAAACAGGACAAACAACACATGTATCATTTCTAGAGTAATTTGTTCATTTAAAAGTCACGTTTTGGGACTGTTGGAAGATTTTAGAGTTACCAGAGAGAATCATGCAAAGAGGAGAACAAGTTGTCTCTGTGCAGTTATGCCCACAGCAAGGATAAAACCCAGGACTTCTTTGCTAGACAAAGGTCCTGTTTGGTCTTTTATGTAATAGATTAGTAAAAGTAGCTGATTTGATTGAAACTTGATAAAAAGGAGAAGTGAAGCTTTCTATTCTGTTACACCAAACCAATTAGTGACGCATGTCCAGACAAAAACTAACAACTGTTGCAGAGCAGACATTTTCACTGAATCTGCTAGTGGTTCATCTTAAATACAAATACATCTATAAAAAAAAACAGTTCGGATGAGGAAACTCATTTAAGTGTTTTCTCTTTGGTCATCTTATTTTGTTTGTATTGCTTGCAGTTTCAAAATAAAACTTCTGTACGTTGCTTTTTAATCTGTGTGATTTAAATGCAGACACAGCAGAAACTATCAGATGACAGTGACTGGACTGCTGCTGTATCTCTATGCCACCATCCTCCTTCTCTAACCCTGGGAGTGCACGCTTGGCATTTCAGCTGCATGTGAACCTTGACTTAAAGGCAGCCAGCGTCATATTTTACGATAGGCTGTTATCTTTCTCTACCTGTTTTGTCTGGTAAATTCATATAAAGGCAGAGTGTTTGATAAGTTCCCTACATACTGTGTAGTAGGAGACATTTAATAGAAGAGACTTAGAAAAACGCCATAAGCTGATTTAATATATAAAGGAGATGTTTATTTAACTTTTTGCTCTTCTTTAATGCTCTTTTGTGTTTTTTTTTTTTTTTTTTTTTTAGGTGATCCAGTTTGCTCTTAGAGACTATATCCAGTACTGGTATTACACTCTTAGTGAAGATGAGTCCTTTTTGCTAGAAATCAGACAAACGTTACAGAATGCCCTCATCCAGTTCTCCACACGGTAAGTTAAAGCATATTTTACAGCTTTCTCCAGGCTATAGTTTTGAATCTATTTACATAATATTATGCAATTTGTTTGCTTTGTATGAAGGTCCAAAGAGGTGGACTGGCAGCCTTACTTCACCACCCGCCTGGTGGACGACTTCGCCACCCATTTACGTGTCTTTAGAAAAGCCCAGGATCGCCTCGCAGACAGAGAGGACAAGCAAAGTATGAACACGGCATCGTACAGGCTTCCTGTATTACTAATTTATTGTTGCTATGATACAAATTTACATGGGCTGTGCAAATGTTTTCACACCCTTTGTTTTCCCCTTTTTTTTGTATTGTAGCCATAAGCTTAAATGTCTTTATTTGGAATTATTTGCAACACAAAATAGTACAAAACTCAGAAATTGAAAAAAATATATATATATTTTTGGTTTTCTGTTATTTGTTAAATAAAAAAAACAAAACAAAACTAATTGATTTAGCCACAGACTTTGAATAGATAATTTAACACGTGAATATGCTTACATTTAAACCCCTCCTCTGTAGATTTGACTGGTTAGGGTTGTTGAAAGTGACTTAAACGTTAATCTGACAGTGGTATGAATAATTTGGAGCCTGTTCAGTGATTGCTTTGTTTCAAACTCCATCCATCTCCTTAATGCGCCCTAAGAGTGCATTTTCATGAGGAAGTTTGTTGAAACTAAACTAAAGTGTATTTTTACAAAATCATAGCCTACGTAGAGTGAACTGCTCACTCTCTCCCTCTTAGTCCGCTTCCACTTTCACCTCCATGCTTCTCTACGGTAGCAGCTGCTAGCGGCGGTGCAGAGAGAGCTCACTGCTGAAGCAACTCAGCGCTCAGGAAGGGAGAGGCAGAGGAGGAGAATCCCCGCTTTTTTTGTTTTGCTGTTGGCAGCAATAATAGAAGTTTTATATTTGCCACATTTTGGCCGATGCTGATTTAATGAGCAAGACGCTAAAATCAACTACTCGATATGACCTTTGAGGCCTTTACAGGACAGCTCAGATCAGATTTCACATTTATTTCATTAATTTTTTTCTGTGGTGTTGGAGCAAAAGGGGGTAAATTCATTTGCTCACAAGAATATTTGGAATTTCTTTCTAAAATAGGCTAAAAACCATAAATCTGTATCATTTTACTTCGCAATAATCAGCTTCTTTGTGGTAGCCTATAAAGTATAATCCCAATACAACGCATTAAGGTTTATTTCAGACAAAATGTGAATACAGACGTGATCAATACTTTTGCAAGGAGCTGTAGATAATCGTAGAAGCCAAAAGGTGAATGAACTGATTGCTAATAAGAGTAACTTCTTCACAGGGGACATTACAGATGAGCTTGTTGACTCATTTTTTGAGGCTGAAGTGGAGATGGAAAGAAAAATTTGTAGAGACGTAGTTTGCACATCACACAAAGATGAAGAAGGTAAGCAGACATCAGCAGCATTCCTATGTTACTGATAACTCTTTCTGAAGTTTAACAAAATTATATCAATTTCAGGCTGTATCACTTGAATCTAATATTGATTTATGTTTATTTGTGTATGTTTAGGTTTTCTTCGAGACTTGTGCGAGTTACTTTTGTACCTGTTACTACCTCCTGGAGACTTCCACAACAAAAGCATGAGATACTTCCTGAGGGTGAGCTCACAAACAGATGATACCTGGTTTTAGTGAAAAGTTGAAGAGAACAAATTGTCATGCAACTAGTGCTGGTTATTCTGTATAAACTCTGGTGCTGCAGTGTCTGCAATGACATAGTTGTTTAATTTGCTGATTGTGTACTTAGGAGGTGCTGGCATATGGGGTACTTCTCCCTCTGATCAACCAGCTGAGTGACCCGGACTACATCAACCAGTTTGTCATCTGGATGGTGAGAATCTAAACCAAGAGGAAATCTGGAAATGATTTTAAATCAGTTAATTGGCTTGGATGAACTCCTTAATATAAAATGGTTGGTTTCTAGATTCGGGACTCCAGTTGCAACTATGAAGCCTTCATGAACATCTTGAAGTTAACAGACAAGCCTGCCGAGCTGGAAGCTGTTAAAGACAAGGTGATTGAGGAGCTGCAGTATCTCCGCTCCCTGGACACGGCTGGAGATGGTGCGTTTCTTTGCATTGCCTTGAAAAGCCTTGATCAACTTTTTACATTCATTAAGTAAACAGATAAAGTTAAGATAGGTGTTGTGTTTTATCTGTGCTCCAGACATCAATGTGATCAAAAACCAGATTAACAGTCTGCTGTTTGTGAAGAAGGTGTGTGAGACCAGAATCCAGAGGCTGCAGTCAGGGAAGGTGAGAAAGTGCAGCACAGCTCATCCACAACCAGTTCCTTCCAAAAGTATTCACACCCTGTGAATGTTTTCACTAGTGTCTAAAAGTAAAATTAATTTTTACTTTTAGACCCATCATAGTGTATACTAGTAAAGGGGAAGCCTGTGAACATATATCCACCCCTCTTTTCTCATACAGCCTTTAATAAAATATGCATCAAACAATCACTATCTCAGTGTAAAAACAGTTGCTCAATAAAATGTTTAAAATAACATGTTGAGCAAACAGGTTCCTAAAGAACAATCAATGCACTCTTATCAGTCAGGGAGGATGTTGTAGAGATGTTTAAGTCATAAAGCAGTATTCCAAGTTTTAATTTGTCACATTGAGTGACCATCATTGGAAAATGTAACCTGCCAAGATGTGACTTTGCAGCTTAGCTGACAGGCTAGCCAAGAAGAGCATCAAATGCCTAGGCAACCATGATAACAGTGCAGAGATCTGTTAGTCAAGCTTTTAGTGAAACTGACTTGAATAGAAGAAATGCAAGAAAGTCATAATTGAAGCAAAACAAACAAAAACAGATGGCATGCAGGAGAAGGTGCTCTGAAAGCTAGCAGCAGACATCACTAAACACAGCATCCCCCTGAGGAACATGGAGGTGGCAGCTGCATGCTGAGGGGATTCTTTTCTTCAGCAGGGAGAGAAAAGTCAGCCATAAGACGGGGGTGCTGGTTATAAAAGAAAATTCATTCTGCTTAGTTACGCAGTGCAATGTGTTTATCCAAGTAAATTGCAATAAAATGCATGGATGTTTGTAGTGTGAAATAAGTCCATCACTGTTTTAATTTTTGTTGCTTCATCAGATTTTCTCATCATGTTTCTCTTTCATGTAGGAGGTCGATGCCCTGAAGCTGGCAGCCAGTTTTGGCAAGCTGTGCATTATCCCACTGGACCACATCCTTGTCCACAACATAGCTCTCCAGTTCTTCATGGGTAAACCCAACACTCAGGCGCTAACTTTCACTGTAGTTAATCCAGGACACTTCAGACGATCATCCTTATAATCCAGATTTCATGATGTTGTAACCCCAACCTGGGTCTTTTGGCGTGCTCCTTCCTGACCTCACCATAGATTTTAAGAGCTTACTCCACTTACAGATCCGATTAGCATCACGTGTGAATGAGTATAACAAGTCAAGCCAGGTTTTATTAGATGTTGTTTTGAAAACGGCCACAGAGCAAAACTAAATTTGTATTTCCTTTCCTCTTGTCCAGACTTCATGCAGGCAGCAGGGGCTCAGGCTGAGCTGTTTTTTTGGCTCACTGTTGAGGGCTACAGGGTGACTGCCCAACAGCAGCTGGAGGTGATGCTGGGCTGGCAGAAGGACGGCAAGAAGCAGCCGGGGGCCACAAAGGGCCTTCTGAAGGCGGCTGCACTCGGGGTTTATGAACAGTACCTTTCTGAAAAGGTAGGAGGCTAAAGCATCCTTCTCCAGGTCAAACATATTCAAGCTTTTTGAACTCCTTCTGCTGACTTTACTTACGCTCTTACAGGCATCTCCCAGGGTTCAGGTGGACAAGGAGCTGGTAACAAAGCTAGGAGAGAAGCTGCAAAAAGAAGACCCCACACCTGATATATTTGATGAAGTTCAGAGAAAAGTACTGACATTTTGTGTTTTATTTGCAATGAGACTCTTTAAATAGTCTCCTCCCTGCTAACAAGTCGTGTTGGCGACACCACAGGTGTATGAAATGATGCTACGTGACGAGCGCTTCTACCCATCCTTCAAGCAGAGTCCCCTGTATGTCCGTATGCTGGCTGAGCTGGATATGCTGAAAGAGCCGAGCTACAGAGGATCTGATGACGGCGATGGAGAGTCTTTCAATGGTTCACCTACAGGAAGCCTTAACCTGGTAAGAAAAACATTTTCCTCTCGTTTAGGGTTTGTTTTAATTAAGTGTGTGTAGCTTTTCTGAACTGTTGTGGCCATGTTTGATGTAGATGAGCATTAAATGTTATCTTTGGTTGGTTTTAATGACTTTTCTATGATTTCAGTCTCTGGATGATCTGAACAACTCCTGCCATGATGAATTTCTGCAGCTACATGCCTTCATATCTGACACTGGTATGTTTACTTACCTCTAAAGGTTAAGATTAGTTTGTATATCTTCAGAAATGTGCGTTTCAGTTGAATAATGAATGATGTGTTTAACTCTCTAAGCTCGTTTTAGTTCCATCCTGCATTTCATCTCCAAGTTCTGTTTATCTGTGTTTCACTCTTTGCCAGTATTCTTTACTTCTTCCATTCCATTACTTTCAATGTTTTTTGTTTTGTTTTCCTCCCCCCTCCTTACTTTCCTTACTTTTCCTTTTTTTATTTCATTTTCACACATTTTTTCCTTTATTTTTCCTCCCACATCTCTATTTTTTTTTCTCCACTTCTTCCTTTTTCATCTCATCACCCCTTCCCTAATCTTCCGACTCCTTTTATTTGGGATGTTTTCCCGGGCGGAGTAGCTGATTCTTTTCTTCCTGGCTTCTGGGGTGCCACAGGGGTTTGCAACGATCATGGTAAGACCTACGCACTTTACGCCATCACCGTGTTCAGACGCAACCCAGACGGCAGCGAGGACTGCTGGAAGACGTACCGTCGCTACTCGGACTTCCATGATTTCCACATGAGAATAACGGAGCAGGTGATTCAAGCACTTCGCTGCTGTTTTATTAAAAGGTGCTGCAGCGGTAGCATTTGACGTTTCTCTTTACACAAATATGGTGGATCTGTTTTAGTTTGAGAACCTGACGTCGATCCTCAAGCTTCCAGGAAAGAAAACTTTCAATAATATGGACAGGGACTTCCTGGAGAAGAGGAAAAAAGACCTCAATGCTTACCTTCAGGTATTTTTTTCCAGGATTCTGATGCAACCTGGAAATCAATGAAAAAAGAAAAGATGTTAGATAAGATTTTTAAATTTTTGTATCCCTCCCTCTTTGTGTCCTTCCTTTCCCCCCTGTCTTTTGCCCACATTTCTTCCTTCTGTCCTTCCTTTTTTGATGGGTCCTACCTTCCTTCCTTACATCCCACTTCCATAAATTCCTTCCTTGTGTCCTACACTGGTCATCTCTTGTATTCCCCCTCCCTCCTCTTATGCTTAAATGTTTTACTTCTGTCCTTCTTTTATTTCCTTCCTTGTGTCCTCCCTTCCTTCTATCTTTCCTAACTGTTTACAGTCTCACATCTTCACTACTTCTTTCTTTTTTGTGTTGGTTTCTTCCTTCCTTGTTTACTTCCATCCATCCATGGATGTAATCTGTCACCTACATTAGTTTGTATCTGTATCATCAAGTATAAATATGTTTGTCTGTGTTCCAGTTGCTGCTAAACCCAGAGATGGTGAAGGCCTGTCCAACTTTGATTCCCTACGTCTATGACTTCCTAGAAAACAAGGCCTACAGCAAAGGCAAAGGAGAGTTTGCACGAAAGGTTATTTTAAAAGTCTCCTTCTAAATTTGTGTGATATATAAACTTAGTAAGCCACTGTGTTTTTATTTGGCTTTCTTAATCTAAGCATTATGCTTTTGCTGATTCATCTACAGATAGACACATTTGTGAATCCTTTGCGGAGTTCCATGAGAAACGTGTCCAACGCAGTGAAATCTCTGCCGGACAGTCTGGCAGAGGGAATGAATAAAGTCTCTGACAACATGGGCCGCATGTCTGAAAGACTTGGTCAGGACATCAAACAGAACATTTTAAAGGTCTGAAAAATCCTTATTTAAAACAGATGCTTCTTTACAGCTTTCCTATCCAAAGTATAGATGCACACTGAGCGGATCTGAGATATTAATATTGTGTTATTTTAAATGTTTACATCCACACGTCATACTTGCTTTTAGAGATAAGTTTATGACAGCCTCTTTTAAAAAATTGGCAGAATGATAACATTAAAGCAAGCAGCTCTGGTATTGGAAAATATCAGGATCTGCAGTTATTGAAATTCAAATATCGGATCTAAAGTGGAAAAATGGGGGTCGGTGTATCCCTTGTCCAAAGATGAGATTTATGTTGTTTTTAAGTGTATGAAGGACTATAAGCAGGTGAAGGAAAGCAATCGTAGAAATCATCAGAGTGACGAGGTTGTGTGATAAGCGTCTACGTCAGACATTACTCTATAACACTATGACTTTATAAGATAAAGAAGTGATTTCAGTCTGAGATCAATAGGGACAGAGTTGCATTGTGATTATTTTACTTATTAGCCTGATTTAATAGTCTAAAAGTATGTCAACATTAAAGGGGATGTTTTAATTTCTTCTTTAGATCTAACCAGCACTTTATCAGTGTTGAGCTGAAGGAGCTGAGTGTCTTACTATTCTTCAAAACGCCCCATTGTAAATCTACCTGTTAAGCCCTATGAGGACATAATTGAAATTTCATTTATCCATCCACTAATCCGTTGCTCTGTCTCAGAGGATCAGGTTTAAGAACCAAAAGCTGCTTTTTCTGCTTTCTAAACTTTTACATTTTCTGCATCAAAAATAATATTTACCGGTAGCTTTTCTCTGCTTTTTTTGTTTTATTTAGTTTTTCTGCAGTTTTTACTAGAAGCAGCTTGGATGCAATCTTAACCACAGATTTATTTCAGATTTTATACAAATGTATGTCTCGCCTGCTGTTTGGCATTTTAAGTATTTAGGGTTAACAGATTTGAACTGTACCGTACCTACCTCTTAGTTTTCTAACCGTAGCCTTTCTTATAAAGGTGCCTCCACTCCTTCCAAAGTCCGACATCGACCCAGAACACTGTCGAGTCTCCGCCCAGCTGGACGACAACGTGAGTCTGCACACTGTTCAGCAGCTGCTGCGTTTTTATTACAGCCAAGATTCCTTGTAAATCAGTGAGACCTTTTACCTGCATTCCCAGGTGGATGATAACATCCCCCTGCGAGTCATGCTGCTGCTGATGGACGAGGTGTTTGATCTTAAAGAGAAAAACCAGTGGCTGCGCAGAAACATCAAGAACCTGCTGCAGCAACTCATCAGGGCCACCTATGGAGACACTATAAACAGGTGGGAAAATGTTAAACCCTCAAAGAATATGTCCACTAGTAAAACAGAAAAACTGTAACACCTTATGTTTTCTTTTTGAAGGAAAATCGTTGATCATGTGGACTACATGACCTCTCCAGAACAGGTGGCGGATTATGTGAAAAAGTTCAGGTAACCTGTTCCCTCTTTGCTGCCAATGGGTCTGAATTTCTGGAGTAACTTTGATTCATGTTGAGTTTTTTTTCCATACCTGTTCAGGGATTCCTACTGGCCCAATGGGATTCTAGCAGAGACTCCACCGCGCCGGGACAAGTGCATCCGCATGCGGACACGTGTAGCTGCCAAAACCAGCCTGCTTGGCATCATGCCAGGTGAAAACTACAACACAGCTTGTTGTTTTTTTTCTCTTTCTATGTAGTATGTTCTAAAGTTATACACACCCAATAATGTTTGTTTTACAAAATGTTGATTAAGTAGGATAGTATTTCACCCTCTTTGATTCCCTTAAATAAAGTCAGTGCAGCCAACTTTCTGCGAGGCCTGTGGGAGAAGGTGCTCTGATCAGACCAAATCAAAATCAACATAGAAAACAAGGATGGTGTAAATCTAACACCAACCATCCTAAACACACTATCTCCCAAGGGAAGCAGTGGCAGCAGCATCATACTGCGACAATGTTTTCCTGTGACCAAAAGGCTGGCCAGGATGGATGGGGAGTTCAGTCTGAAGCTCATGTTTATCTTTCCAATAGGACAATAGTCCCACATATGCTGATTGAGCTACAGGGGATTGGTTCATAGGTTTGAGAACAGCCCAGTCAAATTTCAGGACTCATTCAAATCTGTTCCTAAGCTTGAATTAGAGCTCAAACTAACAAATATTTTTATGAGTGATCTGTTGCCTTTTTTTTCCTCAACTGAATAATAATCAGATTGCTAAAGCTGCCAATAGATTCCTTTTATGGAATTTGAACCAACTTAAACTAATTTGAGGTGTTCTTGAAAGAGCATCTTTACAAATAAAGAAGATTTGTTATCTTAAATGTAAAATCTATCTTTGTACAGTTTTGGCTTAATTCCTCAAATTGATTCATTGCATTAAATCTGATCAATTTTGTACAGCTCTAGCTTAAATTCTATTGTTGAATTTGTTTCTCCTTTCAGTTGGACAGATCCTGAGCTATTTGATGAAGAAATTCAGTCTTCTAAACTAGTAGAAACTAAGGCTACGTTCACACTGCAGGCCTTGATGCTCAATTCCGATTTTTTTTTTTAAATCCGATTTTTTTTGCGTTGCCGTTCATATTTCCAACTATATGCGACTTGTATGTGATCTCCTGTGTGAACTGCAGTCATACAATGCAAGTGTCCCACATGCGCAGTAGAGGACGCAATGACGTCACAGGCCAGCTTTCTTTTTTTTTTTTTTTTCGCAAATAAACATGGATGTTAGTGCCGGCGAACATCTAGAGGTCTTTTCCAACCATAAAAACACAATCTTTTCAATATGGTTAAACATAGAAACTGCTCTGTGCATCATCATCTCCCATGGTTGTTGTTTTTCTTGCCACTTCTGTGTAGCAAGACGCATAATAGTGACGTTTCTCGCGTATTGATGACGTTCAGGTCGGATTAATCTGACTTGGCCGTTCAGACACAGGTCACATTTGAAAAGTTCAATGGCCTGGGTCGCATTGGAAAAAAATCGGATGTGTGTTGTTCAGACTGCCATGAAAAGATCAGATCCAGGTCACATGTGGGCAAAAAAATCGGATTTGGGTCACTTCAGGCTGCAGTGTGAACGTAGGCAATAAGAACCACTGTTCTACAGATTATAAAGTTATTTGACTGAAACAAAATTAAACAGAAGACTCAGTTGAGTTTTAGTTGTTAAAAGATTTAAGTTGTATATTCAGGGTTTCTGCGGGTCATTAAAAATCATTAAAAGTCATTAAATTATTATTGTTTAAATTAAGGCCTTAATTTGCATTAATATTCATTAAATGTGTTTATTGTGGCATTTAAAATGCTTTATTAAAAAAAATTTTTATAAAAACAATTTCGTCAGACATGATATATCATGATATATTTGCGTGGAACTGCTTCTGGTTGATCGCAAAGCTGTATGTTCAGAAAAGAAGCTTTAGTCAGAGAAAAAGCTAGAGAATGGGGGGGGGGAAAGCAAATTTCAACAAAAGGGGTTTGAAAACGAGGAATTCGGGACCTTACTGCAGCCTGTCAAGGGGTACCTGTTGGTGGCATTAAAATTATTTCTAAGAGCATTAAAAGAGCATTAAATTTGAGTTATTCATTCCTGTATTAACCCTGATATTTTATATAGCATTATGCAGTCCTTGGATGTTTATCTGTCAGATGAATTGCTACAGAAGAAATTCGCACTTGACGAAGATTGCTTCGTATTTTAAGCTTTTAATTTTTTCCTTAATTCTCCTCCATGTTGTGTTGTACTCTGTTCAGACCTTGGACATGTTTTTATCTCCCTCATTACTTTTATTGTCCTAATTCATTGTTGATATAGATGTTAAAATGTTTCTACTAACTGCCACATGTTTCCTTTATTCTCCTCAGATGAGCTGAAGCACATCATCGGAGCGGACACCACAAGGAAGGGCATCCTGCGCGTCTTCGACATGTTTCAGCATCAACCCATGAACCGGCGCCTCGTGTACGTGTTCCTGGAAGGCTTCCTGGAGACCATGTTCCCTCAGTTCAAATTCCCTGAGCTGTTTGTCAAGCTGCACTCCCGCTCGCCACGCATTCACAGATACAACCAGAAACTCAAATGCTCCTCTCTGAAGAGGTGACAGGAAAGCTCGGCGGCAGGAGGACAAAGGCCGGCGACAGACGCGCAGAGACTCCAGAGCTGAAAGTGAGGGTGTGATGTGTTTGACGGCTGCCATTAACCTGCCCTCACGCTCCTAACAGGCAACACACTCCTTATCGGTTCCACTGAGATGTAACCGAAGGATGAGCAACTCTGAAAGAAACGTTCGAACGCGAAATATTTCATTTGCACCAAGAGGCTGAACATATCAGTCTTTTCTTTAGTTTCTATAATTTTTTTTCCCTTTTTGGACTTTTTACTTGTGTTAAGCTTTATGGTGGCCAGCCAATGCTTCTTTCTTGTGGTTCAGACTAGCAGGTAATAAAACACTGCTTTGTTTTTTTTTTACTGCAGGATTTAATAGAGAAAACCCACACCTTGCCTTACTTTCCCGCTTCAGTCCTCTATGTTGTGGAGCCACAGAGCTGTAATCAAACATGCCATCATGCAGTAAAATCTCTGAGCTGCAGAGATTTTTTTTTTTTTTACATTGCAACCAAACAAATGTCAGATGCACTGGGTTTAACGAAGCGCTGTCCTGCAAATGTGAGCAAACAAGAGTAGCTTTTTTTTTTTTTTACCTGCCACCATTTTACCTTCTCTTGATGGACGGCCCACATCCCCTTTAATGCAACTGTCATAACCTGTGACAACCAAAGCTTACGCTGTCTGTGTGTGGACCCTTTCTATTGCAGATCAGGCAAAGAAATAATTTAATGAGCTACAAAGTGAGAATGGGAGCAACGTGCACTGCATTTGGGTTGCTTAGGTTTTTGTTTTGTTTTTTAAATGTGTGTCTGCGTGTGTTGAGCTGGAAGAGGCACCTGTGTTCATTCAGAAACAGTGCTGATGTCAGAGAGAACCAGCCTTAAATCTATATATATAAACAGAGTATACTGACCAAGAGATGCGCGGCAGAGCGAGCCCTCCATCACACCATTGGACTTTATACGGAAATTAAAAGGAGAAGTGGAGATATTAACCCTAATCACTTTTATTCTTAGAAAAAAAATCTTTGATTCGGTGCAATATATTTTTGTGTAATGCATGTGCATTTTGATTTATGGTGTAATGAAATTAGTCATAATCTTTTATAAGGAGAAAACGGAAGGATATCTCCTTAGCCCAACAACTTAACATTCCGTTGTTGTAAAACGTTTATTTTACAGACTTGTTTTATAAGTCTGACTTTATTACTTTTTAGTTTTTTTTTTTTTTAAATAATGTCTACATAATCCCATGCTCACTATCACAGAACATCTGCTGTGGGTAGTAGTCAGTGGTGTCGTACAGCTGCTTCTTTTTAATCTCCCAAATGTGTTTGATGCACATGACTGTCATGCTGGGTGTAGAGATCATGTGACCTGACTTCCTCCACTGCCTGTTGTGTGTGTGAAGCCCCCACCCACAAATTCAGGTCCGATTAAATCACAGAAGAGTTTGTGGTCGATAGGATCACTGCTAATTAGCACTTACTGTAGCGACTGTTGGTGTCTTGGCCCCGACCCCCCTTCCACCGCTGGGATTTGTGTACACTGAGCAGCCCCGATGGACTCTGATTGGCTGAGCAAGAGGGACATGAAGCATCTCTTTTTTTGAGAGGTGATGTCACCTTTTAACTTCTTGCACATCTCCATGCAAGAAGTTTTTTGTTTTGTTTTTTGTACACCAGTATATATGAATATATCATACTGAAAATGTGTGCATATCTGTGTACATGATGTGTTAATAGTGTGCCTAAATGTACTGTCAACTCTATTTTCATATTTTTCTTCACCTAAGAAGAAAGGGGGAAAAAAGTCAATCAGAACATGATCATTTTACGTGACTGAAAAAAAGGCTTTGGGATCTTAGTTTTTTTGGCATCATACTCAAACTTCTCCTGGTGAGCACTTGTGCTCAAATCAGTATAACACTAATAAAAGGTAACTCGGGCTAAATGAGCCATAGTTGCTTTTGTTGCTGTGTGTTTTCTTTCTTGAGGTGCAGGTTTGTTCCCCTGCTTCCCAGGAGAAGCTAAGGTAAGATATCTGCTCTGCAATAACCTGTATTAAACACCCCTTCAGACACTTTATTCTAAAGCTTAATCATAAAAAGGAACAATGGGTAAATATTGAGCACAGATTTATGTAGAAAATGTATTTCAAAAGGTGCAAACTGCTGTGAGTTGTCACCAGATGTTAAACACCTCAGGTCCATGCATGCAAAGGAATAAGATCAATGTCTCTTATGTTAACCAGCTAAAAGCAGGTGCTGCTCCAAGGAATTTCACACAAAATCATCGGAAGAGCAAAGAACAATGGACCTTTTATGCAGCGCTTCAGAAAGACCTAAAATTAGCAATAGGTACAATAGTTTCAAAGAAAACAAAGACTCCATAGCTGAATAAAAAGAGGGTGGACTCATTCTCAGAACTTGCTGATCAACATTTAGGCAAGCCTGTGAAACATGTAGAGAATAAGACCAGAGGAGGTTCCAGTGAAAGATCAGATTGACCCCTAAACCACTAAAGAAAAATGTTTGGTAAAATGACATCATGGAAATGCATGGACCAGTTTGTCAATACTGTACCGTCACTGGTAACAGAGGCTTTTAGACCAAATACTAAACAAAATTTAAGTAAATTAAGTATGTTAGCTACCAATCTTCAAATCATTTGTGGACAGCTATGGTTTATCTCTGTGCATGCATGGACTGCTAACAATTGGGTAACTTTTTTTTGTCACATTTACTTTTTTTTTAAAGGCATATATTGCTGTCTGCTTCAAAATGTCTGGAGAAGGAGAGGAACCATCATTCTGGCATATTTACTTATTTATAGAGGATGCAATACAATAAATAACAGGCACATTATGTTGATTGCAGCTTTTAGCCTGCTGGTGGTGATGCAGCATCAGATGTGTCTGCAGATACTGAGTCTGTTAGTTAATCCACATCAGAGTTTGGTCCTGCTAAAATCTGCAGCTCTTCATTCATGCGGTTTTCTTCTGCGATTTTCCCACCGGATCGGTGATGATTACTAGTCCCCACGCGGCCACACCTGGCAGAGAGTCACAGGAAAACTTTTGCATTTTCAGATTATAACGTGAAGAAACGTATCCAGATTTGGTCATGGCTTACATGCAGCGAATGTGATCTGCGCCACCGTCCCCATTGATGTAGGAGCCCCCTGCCGCATCACCCTCCGAGCTGCGTGAAACACGTAAGCTCCAGACAGGATTAGTCCTCCTCCTGAGATGAGTCTGCAGCCAAAGCAGTTCTTAAACGCCTGGGTTGACTTGGACGAAGCGACGGCGGACTCTGGAGCTGTTGACATTGTTAGCGTAGCGCTGATGTTACAAGCTAGGGATTAAATTCTGCATCGAGTTCAAATCAAAACTCGCGTGTCTGAAGAAAAATCGCTTCTGGTTTTCAGTTAAAAAATTAGCAAGATCAATTATGTATGATAGTTTCCAAAATCCGCAGTAATCCTTCTTAGAGAGAAGAGCGTAACGAGGGAAAGGTCGACTTTAAACTACTTCCGGGGTAACAAAGACTGTGATGTATTTAGCTTCCGTTCTGCTTCTTTTCAAAATAAAAGCATTTTGCGATCTATACAAACTAACGTGATAACTCTCGATCTTAAGCTACGTTAACACTGCAGCCTGAAGTGACCCAAATCCGATTTTTTTTTTTGCCCACATGCGACCTGGATCTGATCTTTTCATGGCAGTCTGAAAAACTCAGATCCGATTTTTCCCAATGCGACTCAGGCCAATTGGCTATGTGGTCCTGGATCCGATACCAATCCGATCTTTTCAAATGCGACCTGAACGCCATTAGTAACCGACATAGGTCACTATTCTGCTTCATGCTACACTGAAGCGTCAATAAAAACAAACATCATGGTGGACGATGATTCGGAGAGGTGTATTTTTTTTTTTTTTTTTTACCATATTGAAAAGTGAGGTTTTAAAGTTTGGAAAGATGGCTAGATGCGCTCCAGCACTACATTCATGTTTACTCCCGTAATACCACTTTTGAATTTTGATATAATAAAATTTGTTTTTTTAACGGGGGATAGAGAATCAAATTATGGTAATAACAATATAATTCTTTTGGCCAAATTTTTCATACATAAGTGTCGATTTCAAAAAATTACCCCATCTCTCAATATTTTTATAAGTGAGATACTTTTATTATAAGAAGTACTAACCCATGGTAAAAACCCTAAAGCCCAATCAATGATGCAATATATTGAGAATTTACTTTAAAATTCAAGAGTCCTTTTGTTTTTTTGTTTTTTATTTACTTTCTTCTACGATCTGTGATTTTTGTTTTCTAATTATATATTGGTTCTCTGTATGATTCTATTTGTTATATTATATATAATCTGCTCAGCTTCCTAAGATATTCAATTTACAACTTTGTATATTTTTTTTGATATGCCTTGTAATACTTTGATTCTTCAATAAAAAAAAATGTGTACTTCCGTAAACACGAAGCACGCTGGCTTGTGACGTCATTGCGACCTCTACTGCGCATGCGGGACACTTGCATTGTATGACTGCAGTTCACACAGGAGATAACATATATCTATATATATGTTTTGAAATATGAACGGCAACGAAAAAAAAAAGTCGGGTTTGATTATCAAGGCACGCAGTGTGAACGTAGCCAATATTTGTTTTATAAAAAAAAATATATAGGAAATATGATATATTAATTATATGTTTATTCGTGTTGCTATGAAAAGAATTTAAATATAACACTTTTAATGGCCAGTGGTCAAGTTTAATTAACGTTTATTGCAAAAAAATACATTTAAAAAAGTAGAATTATGAAAAGAAAAAAAAAAGACTGTAGACCACCATAGATCTCGTCACACAAAAGCGCTGACCTCTTAATGGTTAACAAACAAAAACAACCTTCGCTCAGCTGCTTCAGTTTTGGACTTCAGACACAGAGGATCGACCAGCATTCATTTCTCAGAAGTAGGGAAAGATGCTGCCTTTCGTTTTGCTCCTCGTTTGTTTCGGTGTGACAGATTCCACTGAGCGCACCTATGTGGCCGCTGTGTACGAGCACAGAATCATCCTGAACCCGGAGCCTCGGGTCCCGGTGTCGCGCGCCGAGGCGCTGATCCACATGCAGAAGAACCTGGACATCTATGAGAAGCAGGCTGCCAAAGCTGCACAGCAGGTAGGCTCAGCTGGGAGGGCTGAAGCACATCCACAAAGAAAACCTCTTAAATCACTCGTTTTTTTTTTTATGTTAATCACAATTAAGTCGTTCCATCCTTTTTAGGCAGATTTTATGAGATAAACCAACACAAAGCATTAAATAAAGTGGATCATTGTTCTTGGTTTTAATAACATCTAATAGAAAAATAACATCTGAAAAGAGAACAGTCACAGACAGACAGCATCCTGAAGATCAGCAAGGGATACAATTGTAGAAAACCTTCATGTAAATGTCAAAGGCTTAATAAAAAAAATATATTTAAAAAAATTGTAGAAAACCTTCATGTAAATGTCAAAGGCTTAATAAAAAAATATATAAAAAAAATTGTAGAAAACCTTGTAACAATGTTTAAAGCACTATCCCAAGTGTTGGATGTTTTACTTTAAAACAAAAGCGTAGACCATTAAAATTATAATGAATGTTCACCTAAACATGTCTGTCACTTCAAACAGAAAGGGACGCTATTATTATGAGAAAGAGTCTGGGGCTCATTGTATCTTTGGAGGAGCTGTAGAGATCTACAGCTCAGGCGGCAACACGGCAAAGAAATGTCTAAATAATAATAATAATAGTATTATTATTGAGACCTCTCTTCTCTGCAACCCACCCTCTCTAAAAAAATTATGTCTATCTAAATAAGTATTTTTTTTTTCTTAAAATAAGTGCATTTTTCTTGAATGAGGAGGTAGGTGAGACACTTTGCCCTAGAATAAAATAATTTACATTTAAGATAAGAAAAAATTATTGCATTGTCTTTTTTCAAATGCATATTACCTAATTTTCTTATTTTAAGAGGAAAAAAAACTGGCAAATTATCTTATGTACCTATTCAAATTAAGGCTAAATAGGATCATTCCGAGAAATTTTTACTTATTTCTAGATCGTTTTTGCAGTTAAGAACCACTTTACAGAATTCTCATTCTTTACTTATTTAAAAGTAAAAGGAGCTAAAGTTCACCTTTATTTTCAAAGTATATATTCAAACTGTTGGTGAGGGCATGCAGGAATTTCAGGTAGTAGAAATTATAAAGAAGATAAGACAAAAGGATGAGACGTAGGGCACAGCAAATACATCAGACTAAAAGAACACCTGTTTAACCTGCATTCTATGTAGGCTTGCCTAATATCTGTGGTGTAACACTGACACTGCGCAGCCCCACTATGAAATATGCTCTAAAACCTTGAAACTGGGATGGATGATTAACTTCAACCAGGACAACAAGCCTAAATATGCAACCAGGGCTACAATAAAATGGATTAGATTAAAGCCTATTAATCTTAAAATACTTTGGTCAAAGTCCAGATTTTTTTTTTTTGCAATGATTTGGCAAAATTTTCTGCACCTAAACTGGTAAAGCTGGTGGCTGCTGGTTTTGCTGAATAGAAGTTTGTGACACTTTTCAGAATTTCTTTAGGGGAAAAAAAAATCCAAAACAAGTATTATTGAATTTAATTGTAATAAAATATTTCATAAGGTAATATTGACCAAAAGTAAATTATTTGTAGTTGTAGTGAAACAAATATTCAGCATACTGAAGAGCTTGGATCAGGCTAAATTCCTTAATGTAAGGGAGAGGTGAAGCTTTAGTGATCCATATTTAACTACAATGGTTCTATTTATGTACAGGGTAAATGAAGCTTAGTAGTTTTCATTAGCCTTTGCCTTTTCTGCTCTCTCAGGGTGTCCAGATACTCGTGTTTCCAGAAGATGGTATTCATGGATTTAACTTCACCCGTTCATCCATTTTTGGATACTTGGAAACCATTCCTGACCCTCAGCAGGAGAGCTGGAACCCCTGCACTGAGCCTGGCAGATACAACAACACGGAGGTCAAGAGATGGATGCTTGAAATCATCCTGATTTTTTCTGATTCCCGAAAATCTAACATTGAACCTCTGTGGTCGAATCTATCGTGGATGTTTTACTTCTAGGTTCTTCAGCGACTGAGCTGCATGGCCCGTCGTTACAACCTTTACCTGGTGGCCAACATGCCCGACCTGCAACCCTGCCCCCTTGGAACAGCCCCGTCCTCATGTCCCCCTGATGGACGCTGGCAGTTTAACACCAATGTGGCTTTCAGGTACTGAGCACACCTAAAATACAAAAATGATCAAAGTACAAAAAGAGATTTTGGAAGTTATAGCAACCATATGTTTACTCCTGTCACAGTTCTGATGGGCAGCTGGTGGCTCGCTACCATAAACAGAACCTCTACTTTGAGGAGTCCTTTGATACTCCTCCAAAGCTTGAAGTCATAACATTTGATACACCTTTTGCTGGGAAGTTTGGGCTCATTATCTGTTTCGACATCCTGTTCCACGATCCTGCAGTAACCCTCGTTAAAATGGTAGAGAACTTCTTCATACACATATTATTAAAACTGAAACAACCCCTCTTTACTTCTCCCTTTGCTTCTCTTCCAGGGAGTTCGCCAGTTAATTTTTCCCACAGCTTGGATGAACGAGCTCCCCCTGCTGGATTCAATCCAGTTTCACCGAGCCTTCAGTCTGGGGGCCAATGTTACAGTTCTCTCTGCCAACCTTCGTAATGATCATCTTATCATGACAGGAAGTGGCATCTTCACCCCCTTTTCTGCTACCTCCCACCACGCTGTAAATGAAGACCTAGAGGAGGGGCGGCTGCTTGTGGCCGAAATTCCAGTCTTAGACCCACTGGAGGTGAAGGAAGCGGTTGAATCCACATCAACTCTGCCTACAGAGTCTGCTTACTGCACCCAGGAGAGCTGTGCTGATTCTCCTTCGCCTGCTTCTGTTTACCCCACCTTTACTGCATCCATGATGCACGACCCATTTAAATTCGTCCTCATAAACGAGGCGGAAGGTGATCTCAAAGTGTGCGATGGTGCGTTCTGCTGCCACCTTCAGTATAAATGGACAGCACATGACCAACAGAAGGAGCTTTATGCATTGGGAGCATTTGCTGGGACGCATACAGTAAATGGCCGTTATGCTCTGCAGGTAGGAATCGTCAATTAATTACCATCGTTATTTCTGGTCACTTCGATGTCTATCTTACAGCAAATGAAAACCTCAAAATTAGCATCTGGAAAACTTTAATCCATAAAACTTTAATCCATAAGACCAATAAGAGGTATTTGTTGTCCTGCACTGTCTCTCCACTCAGTAATTGGTTTGGGCTTCTTTTACATGAATTACTGCAGCAGTGTGGCATGATAGGGACAGATTTAACAGCAGCCAATCACATGTCTGCATTTGTCTCTCATGTTTCTCTTGATAATACTCAGATTCTCTGTGGGGTTTAGGTCAAAGCAGTTTGCATCCAATCAAACGCAATGATAGGACAGCCATTAAACCAGGAATTGATACTTTCTGTAATGAAGACAGGTTCAAAGTCCTGCAGGAAGATGACATCAGCATCTTCATAAAGCTCAGCAGGGGGAGACAGGAAGTAACTTTGGACTTGATGATTAGGGGAGCCATTCTTATTCTAAAACAGCCTCTTGAATTTTAGCTTTCTAAATAAAATGTGAAGTAACTGTAATGTGAAGGACTTTTTAACAGTCCAGTCCATTTGCCTTTTAGCCCAGATAACACTTAGTTCAGGGGTGGCTTAACCCAGCAAATTGGACCATTGCCACATGATTTTGACGATACTGGACTTACATACATTTTTTTTCCTTCCTCTTAAATGTCCATATACATGTTTGGACATAGAAATCTGTGATGTAAGACAGAGGAACCAGCCAAGGATCTTCTATGGCTTCACTGTTAGCCATGATCAACAAGATTCATTTAAAAAACTGCTTATTTTGGTTAATGTACCTCTCCACCCTCTTACAGGTGTGTGCAGTAGTCCGCTGCGCAGGGCTGGAGGCCAGCTCCTGTGGACAGCAAGTGAAGGAGGCGGAGTCTAAGATGGACTTCCTATTGGAGGCGACCTTTCAGACTGATTACGTGTACCCTTCGGTTTTGGTGAACCGTATGTTGGTGGAGCAGCCGGAGAAGCTGGAGAAAGCTGCAGGAGGGAAAGTGGCTATGAAGCATTCAAACCTGAGCGGAGGTCTGATCACTGCCTGCCTGTACGGACGAATGTACCACCTGGATAATGGAATGTCCCACTTGGATAATGGAATAATAATAACTTGCTGTGGAATAATTTTCATCTTAAAGCTAATTTCCGAATGATTTTAATGGATGACTTTCTAAACTCAAAGTCACGTACAAACTCAATAAAACAAATCTCTTTATTCATCATTGTTACTTAATTTGCTTACAAACCGGACGCCAAATGGCATCCAACCTGTCTGAACTTTGCATATTTCCAAAAACAAAGGCAATATTTTATTATTAATCTCTCACACACACGTCCCAACATGCATTCATACACCGTTTCCAGAACACAATGCAAATGTGAAGTAGTTACACCATTGCATGATCTAAAGGGGCTGTTCATTCAGCCTGTCAGTCAACTGACGTCTGAATCCTGTGTACAGTAAGTAGGTCTGACATCCACCTGCTGTCAGAATTCGCTTCAAGATTGAATCTACACTTAAAAATAAATACTAAGAAATTAAATAACAATTTAATCCTCCTGGGAAATGAGGAGATAGCTCCCAGATGATCTACACAGCATTAATAATGTTCATGAGCTCCGGTCATCAGCGTTTCTGATAGACAGAGACGAGTAAAATGGTCAAATTAAACGTACAGTCAGCTGGTCCCATAGGTTTTCCCTCTGTTTCCTCTGAGTTTTATGTCACTTGATGATCTTGTGGAGAAAAAAAAAAACAAACTTAAAAAGAATTAAAGCTACACTGCGTAACTTTTGACCCAATTATTAGCGTAATTTCAGAAATTAAATAATCTTTCAGGTTGATATAGAGTACTGGGCATGTATTGATGGTCTATGGGAGTTGCCCTACTTGGGAGGTTTGGCTCCATCACTGCATGAGTCATTTATGACAATCTGAGATGGAAGTGAACTGGGCAAAAAGTTGTTAAGAAACAAAAAAAGAGATCTGACATCTGATCAGATATATTTCTGGTTCTCTGATGTAGGATTTAATCTAGACGAGCTTTTCTTGCCTCGTCCTTACAAGCAACTCCATGACTTTTTCAGTCTGCAGCTTCAAAGTGGTCTGCTATCAGAGAGCAGTGTTTCCAGTTGCTTTCAGGGATGCTAAGCCTTTAAATTACAAGTCTAGCGCCCCTAGTGGCTAAAAGTTACAGTGTCGCTTTAAAAATCACTAGTGAGAGATTCCACATCAGCTACAGTAAAAGTTTAACTCATAAAAAGAGAATACTGCTTTTGAATTAAAAAAGATACTGGTCATGTTAATGGCCATACAGTGCCTTCTCAGAAGTTTAGTATCTGTATTCTTACCTCTTATTGGTACAGTATGTCGGCATAGGTGTGCACATTAGGAAGACAGAGCCTTGCATAACATATTCATACCACTTGACTGTTTTTACATTTTGTCACATTACAGCTACAAACATTCATTTTATGGGGCTTTTGTGCAATACAGCAACAAATAGTAAAGTTGGTTTTCCAAAGCGCTGATTCAGGTGAGGTGCATTTTTTATGTTAAAGACCTAAAAACATTTCTTTGACTTAATTTTGCATAACTTTGTGCTGGTCTGGGAAACGCTGTTTGTTGTAATAATGTGACAACATCTGGACAAGTCAAAGTGGTAGTAATACATTTGCCAGGCACTGTATGTGGTTTATATAAAAGGATATTTTTACACTTGAGGAAGCTTAACCAAAAATAACCTGCTCTACTTTCTCTCTGTTAGTCAGATATTTAATAAGGCTCCTGAGTGGTTGGCTAGGCTGCCGGTACTTTCTCCAAAATTCCTCAGTAGGTTTCTGAGTCTGAGTCGTTCAGTTCATCGTCTGCTGAGGTGGAGGATAGCGGCCTGTCTGGCCTGCAGTATGAGGCATGGTCTGGTCTCAGAGCAGGTGGAGAATCGAACGCCACACCTTTGGAGATGTGGTTGGAGGTCTGGTGGTGTTTGATGACGGTCTGGGTGAGAGACAAAGCGGGTATGGCTGCTATGGTCACCATGGGGGAGGTGGGCATCATTGAGTTGAGAATGAGGGCCAGGCAGTCCGCTACGTCACGATTCGGAGCACAGGCCAAAGCTGGAGTATAACCTGAGAATTTTTTGGGGGGAAAACAGAGAAAATGTATTTAATCTATTACCCATTGATTAGAGGGATCACTGCGACGGAAGCTGACCATTTTCATCCACCGCCAACACGCTGGCCCCTTTTCCCAGCAGCTCCTGGACCACCACGGTTAGTCCCATCCTGGCTGCCACATGCAGCGGCCTGAAAGAGGAATACACAGTTAAAATATGTTCAGCTCCAGCTCGGCTGTGTCCAGCTTCGTTAAATACGTACGTCTGGAGAGCATCATTGGTACAGTTGATGAGGTTCATGTCGCTGATTTTCTCAAGGATCAACAAGGCACTCGTTTCATGACCCTAAAAGGAGCAGGAAGCAGAGTAAAAAAAAAAAAAGTGTAAATCGTCTCCAGCTGCATAGATCTTTTTTTTTTTTTTTTTATATTTTAAAGACCACCTGGCATCTATAAAATCAACACAGATGTGGAGCCACATGAACCAATTCAAATCTTCAAAAATATTCAGAGCAAAGAACAAGCAGCTGTTCTTGATCTAGCTACTTGGTAGCGGAACCTGAGTTTTGCAGGAAAAAAGAAAAACCATCATGAGAGGAAGTTAAAAACCAAAAGATCAGTGGCTCCAATCCAAAGAGACACCTTCTTCAGTCCTCTTACAAGATGATAATAATAATTGAACATTATTGATCTCACATTGGAGAAATTTACCTCTGCATTCAACCCATCCCCTTGGGGAGCAGTGTGGGGTTAAGGGTCTTGCTCAAAGACCCAGAGTGGCAGTCTGTGGGAGTGGGTTTCGAACTCACAAACTCAGGATTCCACGCTCTATGCCCTAACCACTAGGCCGCCACTCCCATACAAATTACAATAGCAACAGATCAAATTACAGTTAGGGCTGCAAACATCTTCATGACTCTTTAAACAGAGCTACCTACAATATCAGATTGGTTTTGGTTGTTAAATTGAAAATCTTATTTGTAGATTTTAAAATAAAAAAATTGGCGATCTAATGAAAAAAACAGAGACAAAAGTAAAAAGAGAAAATGTCTAGTGGTGGTCTCATTCTGTTTTGGACATCTTACTGTGATAATGAAAGAATTCATTTAGAGAAAAGTTAAGCTATCCTGTTTTTACATATTTTTCCCCTCAGAACTATATAAGTTGTTGGTTAATTCATGAACAGCACCTGGAATGAGCCAGAGGTACAGGTTTAAGACTCCTGACTGATCAAATTCAGGAAAAATGGGCTGAAATTACACTCAAGAGGTTCAAAATGACTAAATGATCAGTCATTAAGGTCTCTCTAAAGTATTGATTAGAATTAATGGTTTTATCCAAGCTATAAAATGTCAGAAAAAAAAAAGATAGATTTGAGTGAATAAGAAAGCTTTCATCCATTGACTGAAAGAAAGATGCAGTGTTTAGGACTTCATGTATAAATACGTTCATCTTCTTTATTCCCCATTTATTGTTGTCAAATGTTTCACCTATCCATCATTCATTCCCTTCCTTCATTTCCGATTCCATAATTACTATAAAGCCAGAAAGCCTTGGATGTATTGCTTAGTTTAGCAATAGAAAACTGATCATTTGAGTCAGCAGTAAAGAAATGAAGAATGGTAAAAAAACAATGTGAACATGCAGGAGCTGTTAGCCTGTCCGTCTTGTAGAAAACTGGTAGAATCTTGGCATTTCTGCTTGAAATTAAAACATTACCTTTGTGCCTGTGTAGGTTCTCTGTGAGCTTCCTCCCAGAGTGCATGTTAGGTTACTGCGTTATCTCTAAACTGGCCTTAGGTCATGAGTAATTCTCTGTCCTGTTTCTCTGTGTTGCCCAGTGATGAAATGGAGACCATTCAAGGTGTTGCTCTTACCTTGCTACATGCTAGATGCAGAGCAGTGTTCTTGTTTACATCCTGTAGTGACAAGTCGGGTTTCCCAGTGCTCACCAGCACCTCTGGAACACAGGAAGAGAAGAAATTAATTGTAAGAGGAAAACAACCCCCCAAAAAAACTACAAACTCCTCTGGTTTTTCCTGACGGAAGTCAGAGATTTCACTCACCCACTGCACTGGTCTGGCCGTTCAGAGCTGCCATCATCAGCGGGGTTTTGTGTGTGAGTATGTCCACAGCGTTGGCCTGAGCTCCGTGGCTCAGAAGAAGAGAAATGCACTCCACGTGGTTAGAAAACGCAGCAGCATGAAGGGGGGTTCTACAACAGCAACGTTTCATATCATAGACTCAGTTACTCACAAACAGTAATAAAAATAAACTCACTGATATACATCTTGTTTCATCTCTTACCTTCCCTTGGAGTCTCTGGCATTGACGATGTTTGCACCCAGGGATTCGATCAACATCTCAGCCACCCCCTCATTATCGTTCATACTGAAACAAAACAAAGAAAAAAAAAACAGTAAGAGATGACGCTTTAGGACAACATCTGCCCACACATCAGCAATCAGGAGTACAAACAGCAGCAGTCTTACACAGCACAGTGCAGCGGGCTGAAGGGGTTTCCTTTAATCTTCCTGAACACCTCATGATCAAACAAAACCTCCACACATGCATCATAACCTACAAGATGGTAAAAGACAACACGTTATGGTTCTGGAGGAACGTGAAGCGGAGCAGAGATGTGGACATTTGGAGTTCCAGTACCGTTATAGCAGGCCCAGTGCAACGGTGTGTAGCCCTGGTTATCTGTGAGGTTAGTAAGGGATGGGGGGGTGCTCTGCAGGAGAGTTTCAAGCACTCCAACATGGCCACAAGCCGAAGCCAAGTGCAACGGGGTGCGGCCCCGGATGTCCCTCACACAAACACCGGCCCCTCGTTGGATGAGGGCCTCCACACACTCTTTCTGGCCGGTGGCAGCCTGCAAAATATACGTCAGGTATTAATGAAACAATGAAAAAAAGAGCAAAATAAACAGATGTGACCAATAAGACTCAATAAGAAAATAAAAATATGTCACAAGAGTTTCAGAATATTTTACAATTCTATATAGGAACCATCTATAGTTTGGGTCAACAAAGCAAAAGTTTTAAATTGTGTGAATAAATTTAGCATCAGTGAGTCCCTCCTCCCCTTCAGGCAGTAGGGGTAAAAAACACGTTTAGCTAACCAAAGTAGCTAGGTGAGAGGATATACATAACCCATTCTGTAAAGATGTAATCCTCTTTACATCCTATAAACATTAAGTGTGCGCCAGCAACATAGAGTTTAAGTACAGTTTGATGATATACCCCACGGTGCAGCGCTGTCCGACCCCAGCGGTCCTGAATCTCCACACTGGCTCCGTGACTGAGCAGAGAGTACACACAGTCTTTGTGTCTGTTTAGTACTGCTAACATTAGAGGAGTCCTGGAGGAAAAGGAGCCATAACTCAGCAAGGATATATATAAAAAAAAAAATCCATTGGAAGCCATTTGTGTTCTGTGTACTCACTGTCTGTTGTTGTCTTGTGCATCCACATTAATGTGTTGATTGTTGCTACTGAGAAGCAGGTTCAGGCACTCAAGGTGGCCATTCATAGCTGCAGCAAACAGACAAACAAACATCTTTCACGTCTTTTCTGCACCCATTGCCCAATATCTAACAGATAAATGTAAGTCATTTGACTAAGGATGCAATGAAAATTCTTGGGCAAAAGCAAAAAACGAAAAAGCTGTAAACAAATACCAAAATAAATTACAATATTAAATATTAAAATCATGGCATTTTTGTCTCAAATCATTTTTTTCTAAAGTCAAGGCATTTTAATAAATAAGAAATTATTCAATAATAAAAGTACCCAGATATTTATTTACCACGGACATCTTTTTTGCTATGCTCTTTGCCTTGGCGTAATCACTGGGAAACTCTCAGAATGTTGATAGGGATGTTTGGATTTCTATTGCATTTTGTGCCTCTGACCTAAAGTGCTAAATGTCTGTCGGTAGAAAATGTTAGTTTCGGTCATTTATGGACGGAAATGTTCGGTGGCCGAATTTTCGGAGTATCCCTAGTGAAGAACCGACCGGGAAACATGTGGGTGTAACTTTCTGATGTTACCTGCAGCATGTAGGGATGTCTTCTTGTATATATAATCCCGGGTCATAGGAGAGGCGCCGTGATGCAGCAGTAGAGACACACATTCCTGATGGCCCCTGGAGCAGGCTAAACTTAGAGGGGTCCGTCCGTCTGGGGTGCGGACGTCCACGTCTAGAAGGGACGCTAGGAGAACCTCTAATGCTCCAGAGTGTCCATGGTTCGCCTGATTAAACCAACAGTAAACCACAAACACACGACTGGCTTTTAAATAAATGAATGTAACCAAATCATGGATGTAAGAGACATGAAATTTTGAACTAACCGCCAGATGGAGCGGACTAAGGGAGGCCTCACAGTCTGAGTCCCTCAGGGCGTCCGGTCCAGATGAATCCATTAACTGAAACACAAATACATAGTTTTCATTTGAAAGACACTGCAGTCAATTGGCTTAACAAAGTAACATAGAAATGCAATATGATGTAGAGCTGCAAATAACCATTATTTTGCAAATCAATTAATCTGTCAATTATTTTTTTGATTAATCGATTAATAATTGGTTAGCTAAAGGTTCCTTAAAGAAGATTTTTTTCCTAAATTAAATCAGGTGAACATAAAACTTTTCCTCTTGAGGAGTTCTGGACAAAACATATTGACAGACGAAATCATTTTTCTTTTCTTAAATTCAAAATATTTATATATATATTACAATTTTGATATAATTATAGCTCTAAGTGGGTCGCTCTGTGAGCTAGAGGCATGTTTTAGAGTCACTATACTCCATTTAATGATGAATCGATTAGTAAATTAGGTGACGATTATTTCAGCATTCAATTCATCCGATTAATTGTCTCAGCCCTAATATGGTAAGAACCTGATCAAAAAAAGTTTTGTATTTGTAAGTACAGAGGGGGTTTTATAATGCTTGGAACAGTTTTTTTTTATGATTTCTGTGGCATTTTATACAGTACTGAAAAGACTAGAGCGTCATGATGAAACACCCAGAACGATGGCAACATTTATGTAAATGTTAATCTTGTCATTAGTTGGATTTTAAATTATCTTTTTCTCAGGATTATATATATTTTTTATGTTAATAAAATAGACAGCCTTTACTGCCAGGTTAAACATTCACCCATACATATTAGAGTGTTTATTAAAGTGATTTTACTAGTTGAGAACTAAGACAGCTCTTCTTACCACATCAAGAGGTCTCACACTTGCGATCTGAAAGGAAGACAAACAAAAGCTATTTTGAATGTGCACCAAATATTTCCACTGACTCCAGGACCGGTGCTCACCAGTTCTAGGCCGAGTGTACGGGCATAGGCTGAGGCATAGTGCACTGCGTTGTAACCCTGTGAGTCCTTTATCCCAGGATCAGCATCGTTCCTTAGCAGGTACTCCACACATCTGAGAAAGACCAAAGACGTTGTTTTTTTTTTTTTTTTTTTTTTTATGTAGCAATTGCGGAATGGTTCAGATTAAACAGAAAGACGAACTGACTTTCCATCTGAGTCGGCCGCAGCGGCGTAGTGCAAAGGGCTGCAGCTGCGTTGATCCAGATCATTAACACTCGCCCCAGATCCCACCAGAGCAAACACGCACTGGTAGTTAGAGTTGGCTGATGCATAATGTAGTGGAGCCCTGAGAAGGTCAGAAAACGAATATCAACCACACAATATCCCCAAACCTTCTTTCATTTAATCATTTTTCTTGAGAAAATTTTGGCGCCAAGTTTGGACCTGCAAGATGGTTTTCACACTTGCCTTCCAAAGTTGTCTTTCCTGTTAAAGTCGGCTCCTGTGTTTAAAAGCAGGTTCAGACACTCCAGGTTTCTGTTTAAAAAGATGATGATTTAAAGTGACACACCTGTGAGCAAATGCTTGATGGAACATGTCCAGACAGTTTGTTCAAAATATACAAAAAAACAACAACAAAAAAATTAAGAGAGGATTTTAATAATTAAATATTCACAAAAACACAGGAATATGAAAACAAACTGAACACAGTAAGTGGAAATATTCACCCTCCAGCTGCAGCAGCATGCAGACAGGTCCTTCCAAAGTCATCAGGGGAGTCAATGACAAATCCTGCACAAATATGCAGTCGGCATCAATTTGGATGTCAAGCAGGTGATCACACTGGCAGAGATGGTGCAAGCGTGACTCTACCTGAGAAGAGCAGCTTCCTGCAGCAATCGGAGAAGCCACTCAGAGCTGCCAGGTGTAGCGGTAACATCCCATGAATGCCTCTCCTAAAACAAATAAAACAAGTCCTTACAGGCATGAGAAATAAGGTTCTAACGCTGCATATCATTAAAGTGGATATTTTATCAGTTATCTTTTTTCAGTTACAAGAAAGAAATCTAACTGTGTGAAAATACACAGATGGTTGCACGTCAGTGTAACTGACTTGGCAGTGTTGGCTCCGTGTTTGATGAGCGATGTGATGATTAGCTCATGGCCATAGCGGGCTGCAATGTGAAGTGCAGTATTTCTTTTTCCGTCCTCACAGTCTATCTCAGCTCCTGTAAATAAAGTGACATAAAATTAGTTAGTTATGCATGAATTTGAAAAGTAAATCTAAAAAATAAAAATAAAATAAACAGATATCCAGATAGAATATAATTTGAGAACGAAACAAAGCACACTAACCGTTTTGAATAAGGGCCTGGGAGCAGGAGAAGCGTCCATGTGTAGCTGCCATGTGAAGGGGGGTCTTACCATCCTTACTCTGCATCGATCATAAAAAAATTTTTTTTTAATATTTAGAGAAAATAAAATATTATGACTAATCATTAAAATAAACATAAAGTGAAATGGATTCGTAATAGGAAAAAAGACACCCACACACACATTATGTCTGAGCAGCTTTCTGCCTCAGGCAGCCACCCCCCCTCTCTAACTGCCATATGGCCTTGCATCTTTAGGCTGTTAAAGGCTGATATCACTTTCCATCACAGCTACCAAAGTGTTAAGCAAACTGTTATTTCGGCCTCCTGCTTGACACCGAGCAGAAGACGTCGACTCAGCAACCTACAAAACTATTTAAACATTCTCATTTTGTCACATTAGAGCAACACTATTCTGAAGTGAAATGCCATAATTTATCATTTCAGATAGAAAGAACAAAAAAACAAAACAAAGAAAAGAGTAACATAAAAAACTAAAAGGTATCTTTTTAGATGAATAATGGTCTGACGTCACACACCATTTCTGTTGCTCTCCAGTCTGTGTGTGCATGTATGTCACCAACACCTGCAAACATACATCATTTGATGCTAATGCTGAAAGATTTTGTTAATGGTATAAATTACCTAGTTATTAAAGCTACAGTGTGTAACTTTTAG